AAACTAAAATTTTATTTAGAATACCTTTTTTGAGTTTTAATTGAAATAGAGTTTTGCGAAGGAATCAAGTTCTTTATACAAAACTGAAGATAATGCATTTTTTAAGATGGGAGAACCACAGCTTTCGACCAAAAACACTAAAATTCTTATATACGAAGTATACAAATATGCATATCAGAAGAAAGGTGGTTTGATTGCGTTTACAACGATGTCAATTTTTTAAAAATCGGTTAGTAATTTTTTTGGTTTAAAATTATTTTTTCTTTATATAAAAAGAGTTATTTTTTCTTTTTAAATGCTTTTTCCCAAATTCTTACATACAAATATGCATATCGGAAGAAAGGGGGTTTAAGCACGTTTACAAAGATACCAATTTTTCAGTTCAAAATTGTTTGAAATATAAGGTTTTTAATTTTTCGAAGACCCGACCTTATAGCACCTGTGATATAAGTTTGCCCAAAATAATACCATTTAAATAAGAGCAATAGGCGGATAAGAGCAATACGCCCTATTTGAAACTTCGAAGGCCCATATCTCGATTTCGGAGGTTAACTCCGGAAAACGGAGAAATTACTTTTTTACCTATGACTCAATCTCTTCAAAAAATTGGTTTGGTCCAATATCTTTAGTTATGAGGTGCCATATCGGGGATAAAAAAGTGAAAAAAATTTGCCAAATAGAAAAATAAAGTGCCAAAAATGGTGTCGTCTTTTTTAATCCTTCCCATTTAGCAATAAAATAAGAACCACATTTCTAAAGCAAAAGTGCAATGCCAAAATAAGATAAACCAGTTGAATAATCTTTAGAAATTATAAAATTTTAAACCCAACATCAAAAAAAAGTTTTTTTTTTTGTAATAGTGGTAGTGTACTTCTGCCATGAAAAAAAAACATTTCATAAAAATACAATCGCTGTTTGGAGTCGGCGCAAAACTGTAGGAGCCTCCCTTTGTGTGAGCAAGTCCCAGATTCTAAAAATTTGCATTTTGTTGTATTAAAATTGAGTGGGCTACAAAACTGAGAACTCGAAATTTTTACGAAACTTTGCCGAGTTCTGCCAATTTTTGTACAATGTTTGAAATTTGGACTTACATTTTTGTAAACAAGTTATACAGGTTAAATAACCGAAGCAGGTTGGCCAAGGAATGCTGAAATGCCTGTTCCCTATTTATACATTCGCCACTGTACGTACACTCAATACATATTTATGTGCGTACATACATCGCTGTTAAGTTTGTGTCAATATAAGGCATGTTTCAATTAAAATATTAAATGACGTGCGACGAAATTTTAAATCAATTAGCATTAGAAAATTTTTGCATTGAAACTCGCTTCATAACCGAATTAACTTGAGTATAAACTCGTATACAGATTATCATACACACATAGTATGCGGCTGAGCTTTGACAATTGGCACATTATAAATACTTGGGCTTAGATGAGCTTGAATCTTACTTATCGTACAAATAATAAAAAAATATAAACATGTGTGTATGTACATACATACAAACGTAAGCATACCCTGTTGGGAAAATCTCTAGTTCTGAACTGGGGCGCTTCTAGTACATTTAGACCCAGTACTGGTTCGCGATAAATCTCTTTTGCATGCAAGCAACTGGCGAATTTAACATGGCGATGTCCTAGGAAGTGTCAATTGCCCCCCGCCGCATCACTTTTTCGATAGTTCCGAAATAGTCCTAAATTCTATAGTTCCGAACCAGTTCTAAAATCGACAGACGAAAGAAAAAAGTATCATGATTTTTCAATATTTTCGGTTCTTCCGTGTGCGATTACATTATTTTCAAAGAAACGTTTTTTCAATTTGAAATTTAATTTGTTTGAATGATTGTAAGAAATGTACGTTTACTTACCTTACTGTAGCTGACTTTGCAGAGCTGCTCGCTGTTATTGGTTAGATTCCAGATGGCCCCAAGATGTTAATATGTTAACACAAAGCTTTGTTTTGTATTACCAAACTATGAAATAGCATCTGCGAAGCACTGAATAGAAGCGTATTTGAACGAAAAAGCCGCCGAACACATATCTATGTAAAGTAAACAAGCCCCCCGCTGCATCTCTTATTCGATGGTTCCGAAATAGTTAGTTCTAAATTCGACAAATAGGATCTAGTTCGTTCTGCATCACTTTTTCTATAGTTCCGAACCATTTCTAAACTCGTCACTTTTGATATCGATTTGTAGTGAAAAAAACTGAAAAAATTAGTTTCTTTAAAGTACCACTTTTCGCCGATTTTGGACTGGTGGGGATATAGGCCCTATCGGACTAGTTCCTTTTTGGCGATAAAGACCTAGTACGGAACTAGAAATTTGATTCACTAGTCCGCGGTTTCCCTGCAGGGTATATACTTACATACATATATGTGTATAAATGTATGTATGTTTGCAATATTAGAGTTTCTAATTTACATAAATACTTTTGGTGAGTCGCTAGCATGTGACTAAGCGAGGCGAGTATTAACGGTTAATAAATGAACAAAAACCAAAGAAAACAGCTGTCCAGATGATTTGTGAAACATTTAGCAATCAGTGATGTATTCACTGGTACTGACATCTGATGACACTACATTATTATTATCATTTTTTTTTTTTTTTTGTACATTATGTATGTATTTAGTTATTGAATCTTTCTTTCGAAGCTAAAAATAAGTTTTCAAATCTTACAAATTATTATTAAATTTAAAATTTCTGCGGCAATGTTTAGATTCTTAGCCACGTGAAATCTGTCCATTGTGGTACTAAAATTTAATGGGCTATAAAACTGCATATCATACTTTTTTTTTAATCTGAGTAAAAAGTTTAAAATCTGGATGAAAATTTATTAAATATTCTTTAATTTTGTATCAGTTTTAAATTTTGATATATCGTCGCTACCAAACTATCGAAAGTGCGAAAATGCCTGTGCACTGCCTGGGCGGATGTAAAGGACTAGTTTCCACGCCGCGCCTTCACTTCGCTATATTTAAGTATGGGTGCATTCCAAAACGTCAAAATACAAAGCATCAGTCTCTTTTATTACCGAACCGCACTAGAAGAAAAAGTCTAACTTGCGCAACCTAGGTGAAAACTAGCATCTAACTGTGGTTGCGTACATTTGGCATTCCAAGCTGCTGAGGTTTAGAAATGAAAGAGACTGATGCTTTGTATTTTGACGTTTTGGAAAGCAGCCTATGTAATTACAATCCAGTAGACTGTATTCGGTCGGAAAGGACATGTTTCCGAGCCGCACGGACACTGGATTTCGTGTTGGGTAGTCGAACTGAAGGGACGAGTTCCAGAACCGAAATTGAAATATTGCGGATGAAAATATGAAAAAATGAAATGCTTAGCTTTCTTATAACCTCATGCACCGTATTTACATTATGATCTTGGTGGATATTCGTATTTTTTATGTACCACAGTGCTCTATATATGGCACGTAACATTTTTTGGATTGCAGTCTTTATAGTCTGTTTGTCTGGAATTGCGCGATGTGCTCCAAATCCCGATTCCATATGCCCAACATTGTTTAATGATCATATTAAAAAGCAACATCTTGTTATTTGGATGTTTGTCCTATAACCCATTGAAGGCTTGCTTGCTTGTGATTTGCTTGAGAAATTTTGTTTTCCATATTCTTTTTCCTGGTAAGTCTCCTATCTAATGCCATCCCAAGTTACTTGACACTATCTTTTTGTGGTATAGCCTTACTGTTTATTCTTATGTTGTCTGAACACATTTGCTCTCGTTAGCCTTTATCCTCCAAGAACCCATACATAGCTCTAATTCTGGATTTCTACTACGCATTAAATGGCAAAAATGATGAATTACAAAGATGGGCATTAAAAAATTATCGCGTCATTACGTTAAAAAAAATACTCATTAATGCCGAATTTCCACTAGGCATTGAAATGACAAAAAAATGAACGCCATTTAAAAAAATGCCATTGTGGAAATGAACTTAATGAAAGATTTTTGACTATAAGGACACCATTATTTTTTAATGCCCGACTTTGTCATTTGTAATTTTTGCCATTTAATGCCTAGTGGAAATTAAGCATAACTTTTTCAAATATTCTTATATTCTGCTTGTAAGAAGTCTCTTTAGGGTTTCTACTATTGCTTAGGATAGCTGTGTCATCAACAAACATTGAAATGGTTCGAGTTTCATCAGTTGGCGAATCACGAGTGTATATTACATATATGTAATATGGGTCCTCGAGCACTGCCTTGAGGGTTACTTGCATATATAGGGTGACTTTCCGTTCTAAAGGAATTCTGTCTGACTCTGAAGTTTCTTCCCAGCAGAAAGTTGGTACGCAAAAAAATTTAAAAAGTAAGTTTGACATCATAACAATTTAGCTCCTACATTAAAAATGACAGCCATTGTTATATTTTACAACTGGTAGATGAGTTGAGGTCATCATTCTGCTAGCGCAAATTGTATTGAAAAATTCTTCAACACACATTAATAAACCGATAAGATATAAAATACTAACATACATATAACTACTAAATATGTAGGCACTTATAGAGACCTAAAATTGGCACAGGCAAGCGCGCAAGTTAAAATAAAAAAAAAAAATAAAAATAAAAAGCAAGTGACAGCGGCCTATGGTGTACTGCGTCGGAAAAGCTTAGTAAAAGCAAAAAATATATATGTAAGCACCATAAACAGATATGTAGGTATGGTACATAGATATGGAAGTAGGCATAAATGTAAAAGTGTTTGCAGATAAATATGCATATTACGACCCCTCGCGTTAATGAGCATAAATGTGTAGTTAAATATCTTCATAAATAAATACGTGTAAATACACTCAAACCCATTGTATGGACGTCGGGCACCTGTTACACCGAAATACATATGTATGTACATGCATACACATGCACCTATGATACCGTTTTATCTTATCAGCACGATTGCAAAAGCTCAGACTTTTCCTGTTGCTTGTTACGACGATTTCTTCAATCGTTTTCATTTCAGTTAACGAACGACTAAGCACCGAGCCTAAACGAACAAAACGTATTTTTCGAATTGATCGCAAGACAGTAGACAAATTATCAAAATAGTGATTAAACGCTTTGGTTTTTGGGAAAACGACAGCAATTAAATTCGATTACTTGTTTGGAAAACTGAAATTGGCGCAGTGAAAAAATGGAATGGTCTTTGATTTGGATAGCATCGATTGTCATAAAATCGCTGAAATTGGTAGGTCGCCCTCGCAGAGAAAATATTATGAACATATGGCAGTATTAGAGTGGTCCAATTTTGGTATAGGAGAAAAAAATTGCATCCTAGAAAACGGGCACCCGCTAGTTTTTTTTTCCTTTTTGATAGTTGTAATATCCATACCAACCTTCATTTTTCTACCGTAACCAATAATAATAATAATAATAGATTGGCGCTTACACATATGTTAGTGTTTGGCCGAGCTTCTCCTCCGATTTGTGGCGTGCGCCTTGATGTTGTCACACAAAACGGAGGGACCTACAGTTTTACGCCGACTCCGAACGGCGATTGTATTTTTATGAGAAGCTGTTTTTCATGGCAGAAATACACTCGGAGGTTTGCCATTGCCTGCCGAGGGACGACCGCTGTTAAGAAAAAACCTTTTTTCTATATTTTTTGCGATGTTGCTTTGACCAGGGTTTGAACCCAGGCGTTGCGGAGTGGAAGCGCGCACTGCTTACCACTACACCACAGCGGCCGTAACCAATACATAACACATTATATTTGAAATGCTCTTATGTTGCTTAACGAATTGTTTGATTAATATATGTGCGCAATACTTCTAGAGTAAAATATGACCGGCAAGAGCATCTTTTAAATATATATGTACTTAGAAACGTAAACTTTGGTACTAGCGCCTCTTTCGGCAGAAAGAAAAATTTTGGAAGATGCGCAAAGCTATACCTCGGAAGAAAATTCTGTAGACCACTCTAGTGAGCGCACGTTAAAGAAAAGAAAAGCTTCGAATTTTAGTTATGTATATATGTATGTACTTACATAAATTAGTGTTCGTCATGTCTTTGAAAAGAATTTGTTAAGTAAAGTAATGTTTTTTTTTTGCCTCTGGTTTAGTAACAAATACATAACATTACTTAGCGAGCAAGCAATAGCAGATAGAATTGTGTATTTGAAATCAACGTTTTACTTATCTTTACTTCACTGGAATTTCGATATGCCAGCGATATTAGTCATAACCATCCAATTTCGAAACCAATGACTAATTTTAGTACAGTGGATTTTAACTGTGTATATTTGTTTAAGGGTCGCAGCTTTATAAATTGGCTTTCATAACTCTGCATTTTTTTGTTCTTAAAATTTGAAAGAATATCGATAGTATCGATGGATTATGTAGGAAAATGTAACAACTGGTGTGCTTTGTTGAACTCAGCCAAAACAATCATGAAGGTAAAGAAGAGGAAAATGTAACTTCTTGGAAGCTTATTTATAAAACCCTTTTAAAATTCATATCCAGTGAGTTAAATGTTTACATTTCTTCTCTCATTCACAGCTCCTCAATTTGGGCATCATTATAATTTATCGCATCGGCTCCGGTGGTAATTTTCTTGGCGTTGGTGGCACATGGAATCTGTGGGAGGAGAAAAGTGCCGGTTGTGAAATATTCGCTTCCGGTGTCTTCGTTGGCTTTATTGTCTATACAGGCGTGCATACGATTGCCTACTTCTTTGGTCCCAACAAATACAGACAGTAAGCATTGCAATTAATTACTCATTTTGTTACACAAATATGCACACCTACATATGTACACACTTTACTCTAATTTCCAGCGAACTCACCGACACAATCATGAACGTGGTCGGCACCTTTTTGTGGACTCTAGTCGGCGGTATTGCCCTTCACTACTGGGTCGGCTACATGGACACTATGGACTACTCATATTTGAGCGTACAACATGTGCCTATTACGGCGAGTAGTGATAAGTTAGTTGGCATTATAATGGGCTCATTGTGTATTGTCGAGGGCGCTTTGTATTTGGTGGACACGGTGATGAGTTGTCTGCACTACTCAAAGGGTGATACTGATTACACGGGTGTAGCGCGTTAAAGCTATAGAAAATTGCCATAACCTCCACGCACATGCATATACACACATTCAAATACATACATTCAAATGACAAATTACATACCCAGAACTTATGCGCAACAACAAAAGTTTCATAATTGCATAGAATACCTGAAGACATGCAGATTTCTCTCTACCGTCTACTAGCATTTATACATATACATACACATAAAGACAACGCTGCCTAAGATAGTTAATTTCAAGTTGGCAGAATATTTAGAGTTAAGTAAAAATAGAGATACATACATATTCATGCAATTATTTGCATATAAATGCTGAATTATTATACATAGTACATAGATTGTATGAAAAATATTTCATTTTATATTGGTAATATAGGCATTTTGCATCTAAATCTGCCAAGTAAGATCCATCAATCGTAATAGTTAATAAAAATAATTCTAAAAAAAAATCAGCTAGAAGAGAAAGCATTATACTTTTTCCCATGGTGGAATTATACCACGTGAAATAATTAGAGAGAGAAGAAAAATTTCGACACTGCCTTATTTGAAAATTTCCTTATAAAATTTGAATAAAGAGAGAAACCTGTTTTTTCCATTATACAGAAAACTTTTTGTAGTTCTTATCATATATGTATGTATATTAGGGTTGTGCAATTAATTGATTACTCAAAATTTTAATTAATCATAAAGTAAATAACTCAATTATTCGATTAATTGGAAATTATGATTACTCAAAAGTTCAGTTACTCGAGTAATCAAGATTTTTGATTAACCAAAAACAAAAATATTTGAGTAATTTGCTTTATGATTAATCAACATTTCGAGTAAAATGAGTAATCAACGTTTCAACTCTTTACATATGTATAAAGTAAATAAAGTTCCTTGATACCTTGAAAACAACGTTTCTGTTTTCAAAAATTAAAACAAAAAATTTTTTTCATATACAGAATGTAAAAAAGAAAATAAGCATTTTCCAAAGCAAACTCTTTTAACTAGCAAAATTATTTTTTTGAGTAATCATATTTCAAGTAACTCGATTAATCATCGTTTTGAGTAATCAAAATCTTGATTACTCGAGTAATTGATTAACCGAATAATTGATTAACCAACTTGCTCGAGTAATCGAATAATCGCACAGCCCTAATGTATATACTTACATACACACACTCTTACTTTTATATTTTCAGAATGTCTAAAATATTGTTTTAATAAATAAAAACACTGAAAGTAAAGCATTTTTATAAACACTTTTAGGTAAATATAAATATACTAGTTTGTCTTTCTGGGTGTTAGCTTGGGTGTAGTTAATTTCAATTAAATTTAACTTATTTAAATTCAGCAAAAAATAAGAAATTTGCACATATTCCTTTTTCTTAGCCCCCTTCAAAGTATTTTCAACTACTAAACTTTTTTCATCTGACACCCATCTTGTGGCAAATATTTGAATACATAAATTCCCTTAATTTAAGTTGACATTTTGAAAACTATTTCGATTGATACATATATATTGCAATAATGCATTTAATTTATTAAATAATCTGGTATCAACCCTCTTCAAATAATAATAAAAGATTGTTTGGCCAAGCTTCTCCTCCGATTTGTCGCGTGCGCCTTATTGTTGTCGCACAAATGGGAGGAACCTACACTCTTATAATCGCGATTTTTTAGCCGTTCGAAACTTGCACTTCATAAGATTAAAATTGTATGGCCTATAAAACCCAAAAATTTTCTAAAAACTCAGAATATAAAGTTGAAATTTCGATGAAAATTTGTTGAATTTTCCTAAATTTTGTATAAAGTTTGAAACTGTGATTTACACGGTTTCTGTTAAACCTTAGACGGTATTTTTTAAATAAAAATAACAAAATAAAATTAGTTCGAAAAACATTACGAATATTTGAAGAAAATCAACACGTGGTCATTTGTTTAAGTCACTGTATATCCAAAAATATTAAAGTTTTTATGGGAACGTCGATAAATCACTGAATTCACCAGAATACGCTTGAGTTTTTCGTAATCAATTAAGTATTTACATATCTCGCACAAATGCACATATGTAGAGTATATTGGATATTATTACCCTCACATGATCAGCAGGAAAATAAACTTGCAAAATAATAACTAAGTAGACGTAATCAAGCTGCTGGAGCTGACAGCCTGCCAGCTGAGCTATTCAAGTACGGCGGCAAGGAGTTGATAAGGTGCATGCATCAACACTTGTGCAGAATATGGTCAGATGAACACATGCCCGACGACTGGAATTTAAGTGCGCTCTGCCCAATCCACAAGAAAGGCGACCCCGCCATTCGCGCCAACTACCGCGGGATCAGCCTTCTAAGCATAGGTTACAAGGTCTTATCGAGCGTATTGTGTGAAAGACTGAAGCCCACCGTCAATGAACTGATTGGGCCTTATCAGTGTGGCTTTGAACCTGGCAAATCCACCATACACCAGGTATTCACAATAGGCCAAATCTTGGAAAAGATCTGCGAGAAAAGGATCGACACTCACCACCTATTTCTCGACTTTAAAGCCGTTTTTCACAGCATTAAAAGGAGTTGCCTATACGCCGCTATGCCTGAATTTGGCATCCCCTCAAAACTCCTACGGCTGTGTAAAATGACGTTGAGCAATACCACCAGCTCCCTCAGAATTGGGAAAGACCTCTCCGAGCCGTTCGTCACCAAACGGGGTTTCAGACAGGGCGACTCCCTTTCATGTGATTTCTTTAATCTGATGTTGGAGAAGATAATAAGAGCTGCAGAACTGAACCGCTCAGGAACAATTTAGTAATTTAGTAGAGTAAAACTAAATATACCTTCAATGTTTACTTTATTTTGACTATAAATATGCCGTTTTATTCTCAACAGTTTGTAAAAGAAATCAATTTCTGTTTTATATTGGATAAATTTTAAATCTGCGCTCTGCAGCCGCAAGTAAATTAAATTAGAAACAAGTAAGAAAGTCTAAGTATAATGAATGCAGTCAGCTTATTTGACCCCAAAACGTTTAAATATTTTCGACAAAATTTTAAAGCTGCCACTGCATACATATAAATTAGTGTTGCGAAGAATCGAGTACTTTCGAGAATCGAGTTCTTTGGTATCGATACTTCCTAGGATCGGGTATTTTTTAGAGTACTAAGTACTTTCTTTAAATTTACAAATGTTGGTAACATTTCAATGCTTAGTGTAGAAATCTCACAAGCTGAAAGTACCTACTTTATTCAAATTAATATATTAATCCTGAAATATGTACGTCAAACGGATGGCTAACCTTACTGGGTACAAGTATTGTACTTGAAAACTATTAAAACTTCAAATTTAGTCCAATCATTTCTAAATATCGGTAAATATAAATAAAACTCCGGATGAGTTTTCTGGGGTGACATCAGTCGACTGAAGAGCTTCGTTGCAAGCACGGAGCGTTTCACTTGCTAAAAGCCATTGGCTGTCGTCATTCTCCCTTAGCGTACTCCCTGTGTACTTTTCCCTCTCCCCTCTTAAAAGCATCACAATGAACACTTTAGTCTAGACTAAGTGAGCCTCCATCTACGCAGCCAGCACGCTAACCTAACTACCTTCTCGAAGATGTATGCATTAATCCATAATCTACAGGTCGATGGCGATATGTCAGCAATGTGAGAGGAGTTGACGTCAGACAGGGAGGTCTCTCTCTCCTCGCAAGCTCGTCTGTCATGCATTACCTTATATGTCTCTATGACTCTATGACAATAGGTAGTAAGTTTAGTCGCTGACTTGTTACGAACTTGGCAGCTTAATGTAATAGTAGATAAGCGAACGTAGAGGCTCTTTTATAGCTCCGAGCTCTGTTTGGAAACTGCTACATTGGTCTAGCAACCTAAAACGGAGATTATATAAGAGGGCCTTCGAGTGTATGTATACCGTTTCCTACACTTCGATTGGGGTTACAGCGATCCGTGTAAATGGCTGTCTAGTTATCTTGAATGCCCAAAACCAATCATTCTCACAATCATTCATATATAGTTTATTGTAGCTTTCTAATGCAAAAGTGAATAGTCGATGTTTTTGCAAAACCGCCTATCTTACGGCACTCAAATTTTACAGGAGAGCGAAAAAACGGTATTTCTTTAAAGGCATTGCCTTGGTATGCGGTATTTTCTCTAGCTATTGTTTTACAAATCTGTTGTTTTAATAACAATTTTAGGATTTTTATGCATAAATCTCGATGTCTGGAGATTTTGAAACTAGTCGAGAGGCGGTTTTGCAAAAACATCGACGAAATTGTTTTGGAAGTAATTCGATTAACATTTTCGAGTTTTAAGTTCGATAACGTTATAAAAAATATCGCGCACAAGAGAATACACCTACTAAGCTACGAGCTAGTGGAATTTCCTACAGGGTGCATTTGTGCATAAGTATATGGCGGCTGTCGGTTGTCGGTTGTCGGTTGTCGTTAGCCTCGCTATACATTTATTGCGATTCAGTTCAGTTATTCAGACGACGCTCATTTGAACTATCACAGTGATTCGCATTCAGTGAAGCTGTTGTTGTTGCTTTTTTTATCAATAAAGTGTAAATATTGTAGAGCTTTTCAATTTATCGGCGTGTGACGAAACTATTCGATTAATTTGCAGTGAATACTTCTTATTGAACTTTGTTGGCCCTAAAAATACAAGTTGAGATAAATTTTTGCGTACATAAATACTTATGATAAAATTTGTAATAAAATGATTATTGAGTGTTAGCAATAATTATCATATATATATATATATAATTAAAAATTTTAATTTTCATTCATCGATTCACATAGATTTTGATTGAAATGTTCCGTTCCAATTTTCATATTATGTTTTTTTAGATACTACGTTTAAAGATGTATATGAAGCGAAACATTTCCGCAGCGATCAACAGTTAAACGCTTGTACGCTTGAATTGAGAACATACTTAGAAACCTACATATCACATTAATATGTACATACATTATTGAAGCAACTTTTCTGCCACAATCACCTGCATATCGCCTTATCTTATCACAGCAAGCGACTACTGCGAACGAAACATTTTCCAGCGACACTGCGCTTGATATTCACGCTTAGTACTATACGATTGGTTGAAAACCGAGCAATAGAGATAAAAACTTTTGCGATTTTGTAAAACAAAGATGGAAAAATAAATACATATAAAAACTTTGACGGTGAATCACATAAAGTACTTGAGGAAATGGATAACCCAAAAATGGCTTCGTACGAAATAATCGCCTCGATATGTCTTAAGATTCTGAAATTGGTAAGTAAGTTTGCAAATAGCTTTATAAGTATTAATAGATTAAAAACAGGGTTCACTTAATATGTACATTAGACNAAAATAAATACATATAAAAACTTTGACGGTGAATCACATAAAGTACTTGAGGAAATGGATAACCCAAAAATGGCTTCGTACGAAATAATCGCCTCGATATGTCTTAAGATTCTGAAATTGGTAAGTAAGTTTGCAAATAGCTTTATAAGTATTAATAGATTAAAAACAGGGTTCACTTAATATGTACATTAGACTGCATCACTCCCCCATACAAAAAAAAAAATCGGTACTGATTTTCCAGCCTTATCATGAGTTTAATTTTCCCCGAACCGGTTCACTTTGCATTGCTCGTTTCCATGTATTTAATATGGGCGGATGCAAAATTTTCGAGTAAATTTTTTTCGGGCAAAATTTAGGATGAGGCTGCTTATATCAGGGACCCAGAATAATAATTATTTCATGGTGGAGTTTTAAAAAAAGTTATCCAAATTTTCGTAAGAATTAACTTAAACTTAAATTAAAACTTTTTTGATGATAATTATGTGTGAGAAAAATTTTTTAAGTCATCGACAATTATTATTTAACATTTTACTATACTTTTATTATAATTAAAGATGAAGAAGTGGTATTTGCCTTGTGTCAAGGTCTCCAATTTTTAAAGAAAGCCATCATCAACCAACTTTTTTCACTTGATAAGTTATAATCTCAAAAATACTAAATTAGTATTTTTAAATATTATCATTTAAATAATATGAAAAATACCTAACAGTCTTGTCCTATTTTCTGATTGCGTAATTAAATCTGAAATTTGTGTTTTGAAATGTACAAACCATGATAAAAATATAGTAAGGTAGAACCGCTGAGAGTCACTTTTAAAATTCTTGACGTTTCCAAACAATTTAATTTTTAAATTTACTCACAAACTCACACACACATTTTCATTTTCAATCTCAAGCAACAACAATTTCGAACAATTTCAATTTTTTATTTTCACTTTTATATGATTTTAAAATGTTGGCAAACTTCAAAAAAAAAAATCATGGCCGACAAATTGAGAGAACGGTTCTACCTTGCTATGTTTTTATCATGGTACAAACACAAATTCTACTTTCAGTGTAGCTAGCTTGAAAAAAACTATTTTTTTAACTCAAATTTTGCCGCCCCTAAATATTGCCGCCCTAGGCAGCTACCTATGTTGCATTTACGGTAAATCCGCCACTGTTCCAAACTGTTTCCGAACTGGCGCGAACTGGCGCGAACTAGCCCCCTAGCCCTGAACTAACCCCAAAATGGTCTTGAACAAGCCCCGTCGCTTAAGACTTTAACAATTTTTTCGCACTCATAATTATTATGAAACAACTTTTATAATAAAAGTCTTTGAAGACTTCAAAATATTTATCTCAATGATAATTATTATGACCAGCATGCTGATATGTTATATGTTTCGAACTTGTCGTCGTGTATTTCACTTTGAATACGAATATTTTCCATTAAATACAATACATACATAAATATATCAAACGAAATTAATAAAATTTCAGTTCAACAACTTGGGCGTACTGGTCTTATATCGCACTGGCAATGGAGGTGATTTTTTGGGCATCGGCGGCAGCTGGAGTTTGCATGAGAAACACAATCCTGCGCTTGAAATGCTTGCTTCTGGCTTATTTGTCGGCTTCATTATATATACAGCCGTAGTCATTATTGGATATTGTTTTGGAGGCAGCAGAACTAAGCGGTATGTATGTTTCAATAATTTCCAAAAAAAAACACAATTTGCCTCACTTCTTCAATAGTGACTTAACGGACATTCTTATGAATGCAATCGGTACTGCAATGTGGCTTGCAGTTGGTGGAGTGGCGATGCATTACTGGCTGGGTTACATGTCTGATGGCGATTTCTCTTATGTGAGCTCCGAACGCAGCGTCGGCATAGCAATGGGTGCTTTATGTATAGTTCAAAGTGCCTTGTATTTGGTGGATACTATTTTGGGTTGCGTGCTTTATTACAGGGGTCCCATGGAGTATGCGGTTATAAGGCATTATACGTTGGAGTGAATAAGAACTATTTGGCAGTACATTACTTGAAAAATAATAATAACAAAAAAAAATAAATAAAAACTAAATAAAATTACTAAAAATTTCCTTGTACGCATAAGCAACTATTGCACTATTGGCTTATTATTTCTTTCGCCTATTTAGCAGTTTTACTCAATTCTGAATTGTCATATGAAAATTTTTGAAATGATTTGTTAAATGCGTATTCCATAAAGAAAATTAATTTATTTCATGAATTAGAGCGATATATAAAGCAACAGATTACAGAAATACATAAATTTAAGGTCAAATGAAATTGGCCAACGCATTACAAATTCCACGAATGAAAAAATGGCGTCATTAAAAGCATAAAAAGTATTTCGTAAAACATAAATAAATATCATATTAAACCATACAGGCTATGGCCAAAGATAAGGTAGACTGGTATGCAGTTACACATTGTGTATTTACTATTTTTAACAATTTTCTCCAGCAACTTAAAGCAAAAATCGAATTAAAAAAATAGAGCACTGATAAGGCTCGAGGCAAATGCGCGACCGGCCACATGAAATCATCTTCATTTCGTTTACTGCTTCCTACACCTGTGAGGTAAAAACGGAAAGAGCTTTTCCTCGTCTTATTGCACACAAACAAACGAAACGATATTGTTATCTTATCAATGCGATTGCAAAAGCTGCAAGATACATGGCTGCGTATTTGTGTTCAAAACTTTTCGCCTCGCTGTTGTGCGTGCGTTCAATTCCAACATCAGTTAACGAACGACGATAAAACGAAGCCAAACGATCAGCCACATGCGCTTTTGGTTCAAACCAAATAATATATACAAAATATCAAGAAGATCTTATAATTTCACTTAAACTTTAAACATAACTTTTGTTTTGTTTTCTATTCTTTGGCAACCAAAGTTGTAAGGGAATCACTTCAAAATGGTGTCTGTGGAAACAATTGGATCGCTATTCATCAAAGCATTAAAATTGGTAAGCACTAGGTGGATGACTCAAACGATTTTACTAAAAGCAAATTCAATAATGAGCAATAAGTGTTTTACGGTCAATAAGTGGAGTGAATAAATATTTTTTAGGCGAAATCATTTTGCATTTGTTTGGAAGAACTTTTCAAAATGAAGTCTTTAATTTTTTTATATAAGCTTTTACCTTTTATAGGAAAAAAAAATCTAGCGGTTCCAAAAATAATTACGCTCTTTTGTCATTAGTCATAAGAAAACACTGATTAGGTCATGCCATTGCTATTTGTAAATTTATATTTTTCGGGTCATAAACTGTGTGGGGAATAAAAGTGTTCTTCAAATTTAACGATGCACTGAGTAAGATACATATTTACATATGCACGTACATATGTGGATAGATTTCATAAGATAAACGCGCTTATCAATATTCAAATAGCAAATGGAAATGCATGCCAATACTAGCCCCCACTTCGACAATTTCGAATA